ACCAAACTTTATTTTTCAAAAACATAAAAGATTATTAAATACAAAGTGGGAAGATATTTAGAAAATTGTGTGTAGTAATAATCTGTTGGATGTTGTTTATAATTCTCAATTATAGTAAAAATATCAGATCTTGCCAAAAAATTTAGAATTTATAATCAGATGTAAATTTAATTATATTTGCAAGTGTTGAAGTATACAGATTATTTGTTTCTTTACAATTTCTCCCCTATTAAATCAGTATAAATCAAGAAAATTTCACTATCAAATTAAATTGCAATTAGAAAAAAATTATTTAAAAATGTCTTTGTTTTTTAATCTCAAATGTTACCAGTCATGTAATTGTTGTATCAAACAATTCTAACATAAAAACATTTAAATCTCTGAAATTGTTAAATTCAGTGCCTCTGATAAAAACAAATTATGTATCCAGTCTGAAAATGATATTTTAAACAAAGAGAAAATGGAACTTAATTTTCAGAATATAAAAACAACAACAACAAAGGATAAGACACTACTAAACTCGATTTCATGTTATAGTAAAAATATAATTAGAATGTATTTTTTGTCATTTTTGATAAATTTATAAAATCTTTATGGTTGTTATAATCTTATAGTTTTTTAATTGCAAGAAAATATTTAAAAAAAATAAAATTCTACTTAAATTTTATTTTTTAAATAAGGAAGATTAATGATTGCTCCTCTATTAAATTATCTAATGAAATTAGATTGTTATTTTATATTACCTAATACACCCACAATCTTTTGAGAAGTAAAACAGTATTTAATAACACACAATTTCAGTTTTATTAAAAGACCATTTTCAGAATAAAAATACTCCGGAAACTGGATTATACTATATTGCAGTAACTCCTACCTTGGTATTCTAAGACTTACTTCAGGTCAGAAATTTCAAATAGATGAAACATCTAACATTTTGGTGTTCATATATGTCAGGTGCAGAAGAGCTTATACAAAAATTCAAATTTATAATTCTCTAAAATTTACATATACTATTGGTTGATTTTAAGAAATTTTAAATTTGAATTTTTATATAAGCTCTTTTGCGCCCGACACATTTGAACACCAAAATGCTAGATCAGCGTTTCTCAAAGTGTTCATATATGTCAGGTGCAGAAGAGCTTATACAAAAATTCAAATTTATAATTCTCTAAAATTTACATATACTATTGGTTGATTTTAAGAAATTTTAAATTTGAATTTTTATATAAGCTCTTTTGCGCCCGACACATTTGAACACCAAAATGCTAGATCAGCGTTTCTCAAAGTGTTCATATATGTCAGGTGCAGAAGAGCTTATACAAAAATTCAAATTTATAATTCTCTAAAATTTACATATACTATTGGTTGATTTTAAGAAATTTTAAATTTGAATTTTTATATAAGCTCTTTTGCGCCCGACACATTTGAACACCAAAATGCTAGATCAGCGTTTCTCAAAGTGTTCATATATGTCAGGTGCAGAAGAGCTTATACAAAAATTCAAATTTATAATTCTCTAAAATTTACATATACTATTGGTTGATTTTAAGAAATTTTAAATTTGAATTTTTATATAAGCTCTTTTGCGCCCGACACATTTGAACACCAAAATGCTAGATCAGCGTTTCTCAAAGTGTTCATATATGTCAGGTGCAGAAGAGCTTATACAAAAATTCAAATTTATAATTCTCTAAAATTTACATATACT